AAGTGAAAACCTGAGCAATTAATTATACATGAATATAGGTCACAAAACTAGAAACCGATACTATTTTGCTAAAAGAGTTCTTTTTTTTTTGAAAACTTATTCATACATGATGATAAGCGATATGACGAAGTAACTGAATACATGGAAAGAAAAATGAATTGTCAAAAAGGCGAACATAAATTATCGTAATGGAAAAGCACTCATGTATGTATCGACAATTATGCAATTTGATATCATCACTGTGTTCCATGTCAGCGTCATAAGCAACAACCAAAATTGATCGAATTTTAGAAGCACAAAGACATCAAATGAAAATCACTTGTTTTTTTGTGGAATTTCAGATATTCTCTTCTTTTCGTTGCTGTTTATCGAAGAAACTAAACAGTATACTTTTCTATATAAAATAAAAGTTTGAAAATCTTACTAAAAATGAAAGTATCTGTCTGATATTGATTAGCGCTGAGTCAGGTTTGGCTCAGACTCGGATAGAAAAAAACTGCCGGTTCGAGTCTGATTGTGGAAAGTCACACCCGTGCAGGACAATAGTCTATTTTTCCAATGTTAATGATAGATCGTTCCGATCTTATGAGAGAACTCGAAGCCTTCTGGAGAGAAACAGCTCCGTTCACCACATCCGGCTCCAACACTAAACATACGTCTAAGTACTGTTGAATAGCTTTTGGCAGAAGAGGCTTAGCTATCCCTTTGCTCCACTAATATAATCTCGATTATTGTATAGTAAATTCCTAGAATACGGATTACAGAAAGAAACACAAATAAAATATATGAATTTATAGATCAGAAAGTAAAATTCAAGAAACATATAACTCATCAGATATCACTCAATATTATTCGATCAGAATAATAAGTCTTAAAATATTTGATTGCTTGAACTGTACAAGAATGTATTCACTGTAAATGTATCCAATCAAAGGTATCGAGAATTCTAATATTTATCATTACATTCGAATAGATTGGAAATCATTGAATGCTCAAGTATAAAATTATTTGATTAAACAAACCTATTCAATCGATTTTATTTGCACTTATTATTAATATTTAAATATCAATAATAAGTAAAACTACTCAAAATTATATATATGTAGAATAATTTGATCTGATTTTAAGTCTAAGTATTATTTCATTAATAAACATTTTCAATTAATAAACAAGTACTAAAACAATTAGCAAGCATTTAAACACGTGTAAAACGTGCATTCTACATCGACAAAGTCATGCATAGTTAGTAAATAATAAACAAAGAACGTTTAAAGTAACATAATGTGCGATTATTGAAGCGAAAAGAGCAAATAATGTAGATCAGAAACATGACATACATTAAAGAGAAACCAATAAATTACTTAAAAGAGAAAAAAGACCATGTTCTCTTAAATACACTTCAGCCCTGTCTTTTTTCTTTCGTCTAGATGCAATTTTCAAGTGTTTCTCCAAGTCGTTATATTTTACCTCGAGATATCAAAAATTTGTACATTTCTTTTTAGTATTCAATCAAATAGTCTCAAATTTTATATACCTATATTGACATGAAAAAGATCTTCTAATGAAAAAAAAAAATAGAGGAAACAAAAAAACCATTATAAAAAACATTTTTTGATTTAAAAAAAAAAAAAAAATTATAATTTGCAGTATTTGAAATTTTTTTTTTTATCGTTCCTCATGACCTGCATGATTGTCTTATCGTCACTGGTAAATGAAAGACTAATTTACAATAGAGAAAAAATTCGTTTGTTATATCACACTTTTGAATCTCCTAAATAATTATCATTATGTTTGCCACCAGTATGTATTCTATCATGATGATGAACACTTCGACGTCTTGAACGACGTTGAGGTGAACGTTCTTCTCTTTTTTCATCATGATTTTGTCTTGAAGTTCTTGTTGATTGTTTTTGTATATTGAACGCTTCTGCAAGAGTAAGAGCAAATCTATGAGCATGTTCTTTTGACTGAAATAAGAATGCATAACATTCAGTTAATGTTTCAGTCGTATTCTTGTTATTAGTAGATGATGTTTTCGATTGACGTAATACAATACAAGATGCTACTTTAGAATATTTAATATCATGCATAGCATAAGAAATATTTTCAAGAGGAATAAGACCATGTTGATGTCGTTCGGGACTATGATTACGTGAATGATGATGTTTACTATGTGTTGGAGAATCTCGATGTGTTAATGTAAGACCATATTTATTAACACATGCTTCTAATGTAGGAATTTCATTCATAGATGATAATTGTCGAGCACCACGTACCATATCATCGATAGGATTACGTACTGCTTGTGCACCCCATAATTGAGCACATGGTGTTCGACCTAAATATTTGACAAGAAAATATTGCGGTAGTGTTAATTTTGATTGTGAAGATGAATTAGGATTTTTTTCTTGTTGTTTCATTTTAAATCGAATAGCATCAGGACTGAATGGTGCTGGTACGTCATTGCTATCATTTGAAGACATTATTTTCAAATTCGTAAAATCTCTATGAAGATTTCCATGGTCATTTGAATTAGGTAAATGATGATGATGATGATAATAAGATGATGGAAGAAGTGGAGAAGGATTAGAACGATGATTATATCGTGTTTGAAAAGGTGGTGTATCCGATGGAGTTGATGAATGACTAGTTTCACGTGAAGCTTGATAACGAATATATGGTGAAAAATCTGTATTTTTAACTTCAGAAATTGTTTCAACTGATTGAAGATGAAAATTAGCTAATGGATGAGAATTTTGTTGAATATGTTCAGTTGATTGAAAACCAAAATAATCATGATTTGTTGTTTCATCTTGAAATGCACCTTCAAAATCGAGATAAAGCTAAATGAAAACATATTGAAATAATTTAAATATTGAATAACTATCATACCGCTTTTGTTCGTTCTTGTTCGCTTGATCTTCGATTAGCAATATGTGATTCATTATGATTATTACCATTTGTATTTGATGGTAAAATTGATGCATAATGAATTTTATGATGATAATGTTGATCTTCGCGACGAGCCATTGCTTTTATTTAATACTAGAGGTTATTTTCAAACGAAATAGTATCCTAAATAAACAAATAAAATGCATTGAATCGAAAAGCAAACGCATAAATAAACCTTATGGCATGTCTCGCCAATGTTTGCTTTTTTCTATTACTTCGAGTAGAAACCGTTATAAGATTGAAAAAAAGTGAATAGTTTTTTTTCTTCAGATATCATTACATGAAGATAATAAATACATTTTGTAAATGCAATGAAAAATAAAACCAAGTAAAATATACTCTCATATTAGATATAGTTTCGAGTGCATAGCAAAAAAACGCCCCGCAATTTGTTAATTAAAATGCGAAAAATAATCGAAATATTTGCTTATTCAATGTTTTTATTGCTTAGAAATAATATTTCAAGTTTTTTCTTCATATGTCCATATAAAAATAAACATATTCTTCTTTGAATTTTTCAACAAAAATTTTAAACTGTTTTTGGCAAAAAAAAAAAGAACTTTTTCATCGTCGTCTATAATACCTTTATTTCAATATTGTAATTGATCATTTTTGGTTTCAGTTGACTTGCATTGCTTTAATAATTGTTCAATAGTTATTTTCTTATAGAAAACGAATATTTGGTATAGCTTGCAAGCTACTTATGGTATGTAAGATTAGATGGATATGACAATAATAAGTATCGAATAACCTTTTCTAACAAGCGTAAATGTTGATATGCTTCTAGTAGGCACTATTCGATTTTTTTGTCATGGANCAATCCAATATATTGCTCAAACAAAAGAAATTTAAAATAAATCAATTGAAACATCTTTAAAATCATGTCAACGCTCAAAAGAAACATTTGAGAGATAAACAAAAGAAAAAACATGACGAGCAATTATAGAATATCATCTTGATTTTGCTTGTGTTTTGAAGAAAATACTTCGCACAATCGAATTTTTATTTGCATATGAAAAAAGACTGATTTAAAAGAAAATGTCGCTTTTTAGAAACGTTATTCCCAATTTCACATATGCTTTTTATATCAACAATCATAAACTAATTATACTTTTCAAGAATGCACTGAGGCTAAGATAATGATCATTGACTTAAGATTTCTGAAGTACAATTGAAAATACTAACAACATACTCCAGTAACTAGAATAATAATATTAAAACATGACGCAAAAAGAATTTTTGAATCTAAATTTCACTTTTACATCTCATCAAGATATACTATCAATAATTTTTTTCAATAATATTCATTTAATTTTTTTCACAAAAGATTTACTCTTACAGGCCGTGCGTTTTCGACTTGAAATTTCTTCATTTAGTTGTTGTACATATATGGATTAGTAAAAATCATGAATTTAATCAAGTATTTCTAATTCGAGAAGGATAGTATATGCATATCAATCCTAGCAGACTTATTCTACGTTTATAGAATTCACATCTCCATTAAAAAGATAATCATTCTTGAGCTTCCACTCGTATAAATCAAGTAACAGTTAATAAACATTGCTTGTGTCGATATTAACAATGATAATCTTTCAATAATCTTCTATGAATAATAATAAATCTAACATATGAAATTTCTTTTTTGATAAAAAGCAAATTCTGTAGTAATACTTCTTCACTAAGTTTACCTGATATTCTTTAAAAACTTCTAAATATACCTCACAATGCTAATGAATTTTTCTTTTCTTTTGAAAAATGTCACAAATTCAAAATAATATGTCAAATGGAACACATCAACAACCAAAATAAATATCCAGTGTATCTTAATTGAAGACAGAACAAAAACGATATTTTACCATATCTAGATATTTTTGTTTTCTTTTTTTGACTTTCTCATTTTTTGATAAAAAAAATTTCTCATCAGAATGAAATATTTCAAAATGATTTAATAATACAATCGTTTCAATTTACTTTCTTGTTTATTCTCAAAAGCTATTATATTTATAATAACAACAAAAAAATCATATCTATTATTAACAAGTATTTTATCATTGTTGTCTTTTCGCATTATGTTCTTGAGCTTTAGCACGAAGTGTAGCAATACTTTCACTTTTCATTGTTTCTGCTATTTGTATTGGTGATTTTCTCGAATGCGTACTGCTACAATTATCATCATCGTCATCATCATCATCATCATCTTTAACCATATTTTTTAATTGTTCAGCTGCTTCTAAGGATTTTCTATGCATACCAAGAAGCCATGGTGCACATGACGTATCAATGCCATCTTTAGCTGATTTAACAATTGTATCTGGCAACGGAAGCGAATGACGAACCATAGCTCCATAAAGTCCATATTCAGCCATGACTGTGGCTTTTCCCCATGTCTTTTCTGTTTTACGCCACTTAAACAAGCATATTCAATCAAAAAACAAAGAAATAAAATTTTTAGAATACTTACTTTAGCTCGACGATTTTGAAACCAAACCTAGAACGCAAATAATTTATTAAATAATTAACTTTAAAAGTCCTACAAAAAAAAGCTATTAGCACAATTTCTATTAGATTAAAACTGCGATTAATTCTACAGAAATGCGATAAAGAAGTAGTAAGCATACTGTAATGAATCGTTATCGATATACGATCTGTGATCGTAATTCGACAAAGTCTGTGACGGTCGGAAAGAAAAAGTAATTTTTATCTGCAATTTAGTTTTTCGTTTTGGAATAGTGAGTCTTCTTTATATCTTATTGGGTGTTTATACACGATCCACATTCATTGTTTTGTCTCAAGGGATCCAACAGATAATCTACAACCAAAGAAATTAGTAAATGAAATGCATGCATTTGTAGGAAAACTACATATTCATTTAAAAATATAGCTCTTCTATATACCGACGACACTCTATACACTAACTGAACGTCTTACTAGTAGAATATATCAAATAATGTAGGTGCCATGATATTGCTGGGCTGAAGAAGTACTAAAATTTTTTCTTCGGTTACTATTGCAATAAACAGTTCTGAACAAGAGTAGCTGTCATCCATGAAGTGTTACTACTCTTTAAGGTATTGATCTGATATTATGGGTACATGCGTACAACAATAAATTCTGATGACGCGTACCAACCCACCCTTCATCCATACATATGTACTGGAGTTATGATTCACACATATTCTTTCCTTTGTGAAAAACATATTTAGCAGAAATATGCATTCAAAAATTTTTGGTTTGAGATTTTGTTATTCCAGGAGCTACTACTGTTTTTTTTTCTAGTGCTAAAAGCAGCTCCATATGTCTCTTCATTTATTACCAAAGCCCGTGATACATAGTCAGAAAGTTAGTAATTAGCATGTCCTGAAATCGTAAAACCATGTTATAGCGCTAACTCGACTTCATTCAATGTTGAGACTAGAAAACTTTCAGAGCAAGTTTTTCATCTTATCGAAACTTTCTAGTCAAATTTTCAAATGAATAGGTCAAAATCATCATGAAAAAAGATTCATTTTACTTAAAATCAACATTTGCTTTTCAACAAACATTCTTAATAAGAAGACAATTGTCTCAGCTATTTTAAAATGATTTCTAACAAAGTTCGGACTACAGATAGTTGCAACGTAGATGTTTCGAATGAGAGATTCGACGAAAATTCTCGTGGTGACATAGTTAACATAAGCTGATCACAAGAAGAAAATTCTGTTTGAATTATAACTCCAGTACATGTTAACCGATCGAGAATGGATTGGTGTTATGATCAGAGTTTATTGTCACACGCATGTAGCCAAAATATGAGCTCAATATCATAGAAATTAGTAACATTTTCATGAGGGTAGCTACTTTTTTTTGTTCAAGACTATATATATATATTCACGATACTTTGGTTCTTATCTAAGCCAACGACCCTCTTAGCTGATTGGTTTGATTGATAGTGCAGAACACCACAGAGTGAGGTTATCGTGGGCTTGAGGCAGTATCTGTACTTTATTGACAAATAATAGTGTGAAATGAATGCTGAAAAAAGTTAGAAATCAAAAATACTCTCATCCTGATCTGTAATGAGTTATCTGAATGTCTGTCATGGTCTGTGAAAGTGATTCCAAATTTCTATGTCTATACTTCAATACTTCTTTTAGATCGTATTTCACAAAAAAATGACGTCAATTAGTTAACAGACTAAATCTAATACGTTCGCATTGGTTTATATATATAAAATGATCCAATCGAACACACATGTTATTACAGTTTTTCTACCAACCGATATTAAAAAAATGCTCATTAGAACAAGGTTAAAGACATCACGCTGAGCGATTATTTATGCTGTCGATGTAGAATAATAAATATCGAGAAACATGTACAAGATTTGTGTGCGTGTTAGAATAGACATATACGCACATTGTGCGATAATGATGGTTTAGTAACGAGAAAATTAATGAAACAATTCAAATATTCATAATTTACAAACCTGTATTCGATCTTCAGAAAGATCAGTTTTAACAGCAAGTAATTCTCGTGCAAATATATCAGGATAATGAACATCTTTAAATGCTTTTTCTAATTCATCAACTTGATGACTAGTAAATGTAGTTCTATCAATAATAAAAAAAAAGAATTAAAATATATCAATTCAAAAGTTTTTGTTTTTATTTGAAAAATATCTACCGATGTCTACGTTTACATTGTTTTTTCTTATTAATAACATTACTATTCATTCCATTTGTATTACATTTTACATTATTACCATCATTTGCATTTCCATTGTTAATAATCTGAATATCTCCATCTTCAACAAATGTAAATAGAATTGTAATTAAATTTTTCTTATCAATTCAAATAAAGAAATTAATTATTTAATCATACCTAAATTATCTTGTAAAGACTCTAATAGAGTATTTGTATTTGTTGGTAAAAATTGTTGAAAAAAATTCGAATGTGAATGATGAGCTGAGGTTATAGATGCATCTTGATTAATAAATGGTCCTGTTGAATGTTGATAAGAAGGAAATAAACTCGATCGTGATAAGTAGGCTGTATACGCTTGATGATCAGCATAAGCGCGAGCAGTTGCAAAATCCGTTGATGTAAGATTAAGAAGTTCTTGAATGGCGAATGTTGTTGTTCGAGTATTTGATGATGAAATTTGTTGAGGATAATGAGCCAAATTCATGATATGAACTTAATCGAATGATTATTATATTGTTAACATATACGAATAAGACAAAAAAAAAATTTTGAGAAACTAATTTATTAATAATTGGACGAACAAGAGAATGCTTGGAATCTTTTATGAGATTTGTGTTTTCTTTTTCTTAACTACTAACTAAGCCAATCGGTACATGTAGAAAAAAAGTCACAGAAAGAGATGGAAGGAATTGGCTCAACAAGCCTGATATTTCCATAAATGAGCCAATCAAAAATACGAATGAGAAAGAAAAAAAAAGAGGAAAATTCTTTCTTTTTCTCTATAATCTTTTTTTCTTCTTCGTAATTTGCACCCAATTATGTTATTTTGTACATTCTTTTCTCTTGTATAAGAAAAAGATGGTTAGTCAGTTGTTTTCCTCGTCATTGATTTATCTCATATTTTCAATTGATACTAAAATCTGTGAAAGACAAATGAATAATTGATTGATTGACTTTTATGGAACAAGAGAAAGACAAAAGAAAACAATGTGTTGAGAATCCAGTGCTATTCTGTCATCATTAGATAGTACAAATTATCGGATGCCATCCATATTTGGATCTTATTATTTGATAACTGTTTTAATTTACGAAAGAATCAGAAAAGCATCTCTTACAATTTAACTTAATATCGTATATTGTTTATCTGTAGAAAAAATGCAATTATTCAAGGCATGATTATCATCTGATAGTGAAATTCTTCGAATATAATAGTTTCCAATCGTATGTGAATAGAACTAATACTTATTAATTTGTTCAAAGATCAGAAGAAAGGCTTCCTCTATTCATATTAACAAAAAAAAACCAGAAAATCATTGTTTTTGATGAAATTAACTATAGTTTCTTTATAAAATTTGAAGAGTTACAGAATAAAACCAATCATCATTCATGACTTAGTAAAAATAAATTTTCTGCTACAATAAACTTATAGTTTTTCCAATCATTTAAATTTCTCATCTGATTACACATACAAAACTTAAATAAGTTTCAATCATTCATTCACATGCTTCATCTTATTCTCTCTTCTGAAAATTAAGACAGCAATTATAAAGATAATTTCTTGAAATTTTGTTTTTGAGGAATCTCACACCCATTTTACACTCATATAATATTGTCAAGTAGTTTGACGCGTGAATACGCAATATGCTTGCATTTATCCATCTCAATGATATAATTGCATAGACTAGCGCATCATTATTCACAAATATTAAATTCTCTATTATCACTCGCATGATCGATTGTCAACACTCGAAAGACAAGGTAAAATTAAAAGACTTTCATCAATTTAACAAACAAAAAAACAAATGACTGTTAACAAAGCCAATTTCAATGAAATAAAATATCATTTGATGAGAAACAATTAAATGTACATTACTTTTATCCTAGCCGTTTAGAATGAATACAATATCAATGTAAGGAGCTTGTTATATTAATAATAAGATAAGAGATAATGATGAACATTTCATAAATATTACTCGTGCATGATCAATCAATATTTAAATCTTTACATTCGTTTTTAAGAAGATCTGGATTTATGCATATAAATTCATGATCTATTATATTCAGATATCTATACATATTTTCTTCTTTTTGTTCATTATCTACAATTAATTGAGCAGCACATCTTTTTTCTTATATTTAGACAAGTGTAGGAGAGGTGCAACACTATATTAATGATTAATGCTTCAATAGTTTGTTCTTCTTCTCTCATTTGTCGATGTGGATATGTGTGTGTATATATGATTGAGCTTGTTCATTTCTTTTCTTTCTAATTGAATCATCTTTCTTGCCTCCTATTGCTTATAACAATAGAAACATAACCAATTGAGCATTGACTCTTTTCTCTGTTTCGCGTTATGGTTTCTATCATTTTGTAAACTAATATTTAGTATTATTTTTTCTTTCGATTATTTCTAGTTTGTCTTTTATTTAGAAAATAAAATCATTTAGCTTTCATTTTATCGATTGATTTTGTGACATATTTGCGTGCAAACAATATTGGACATTTGATTATGATCAAAAATAATCTCTCATGAGAAACTATAGTCTAATCAGATTTTTCTTTCTTGTAAATGATGGAATGAACAAACAATTAATTTACTCGTATGCTGTTTGTATTGTTCTATTATTGTTAATACTATAACTGTACTGAGCAGAAAAAAAAAGGTGGAACAGAAAACGATTAATTTTGAACATGCAATCACATATTATAGTTATAGATGAGAAAATGTTAATTATCATTCGTCTTGAATGTCACCTAATATAGCCACGGCTTCAATTTCAACTTTAGCATTCTAAATAAATATATAAATAAAGGCATATTAATGAATTATTTTGTCTTATTACTCTTGGAAGAGCAGCTACTTGAACAGTTGATCGAGCTGGATGACGATCCGAAAAGACTATAATAAAAGATTTCGTTATATATATATATAAATTAGAAAAAATAGTAAAATATTTTACATTCAGAATAAACTTCATTCATTGCGGCAAAATCATTCATATCTTTGAGAAAAACATTAGTTTTTACAACTAAAACAAAATATCGATAATAACATTATGTTTTTCTTTATGTTTTTATCCACTCACCATTTTTATATGAAACACCTGCAGCCTTCAGTACTTCACCAAGATTTTTCAATGACTAAAATAGAACTGAAAAAAAAAACATACGTATATCAATATGTTAATGTACTTGACGAGCTTGTTCTTGTACACCTTCACCAGCAAATTGACCAGTTTTAGGATCAAGTCCAATAGATCCACTTAAATACAATGTGTGTCCAATTACAACACCTTGGCTAAATGACACATTCTTTTAGAGGATCGACCATTTTAGTCAGTTCTTATTGGTTACCTATATGGTCCACCGACAGGTCCAGCTTCAGATGTTGTAATAATACGACGAACAAATTGAGACGATGCCATTTGATGATGTTAAAAAGAATAAAAAAAAATAGATGAGAATCTAAAGGTTATATGCACACTCATAAAATAAATTCAACACGGATAAGATAAGAAACAAAACCGTCTGTTTTTTTTTTGAGGGTCATGACAAAATTAAAATGAAAGCGAAAGAAAAGGCTAAATCTAAATGCAAACCAACTGATAACATGCAAACAGATGATGACTCAGTCATTTTTTTGCAAGTATATTAACCTTTTTTAAATGGTTCATAGAAAAAAAAAATATTCTAATCAAATATAAAATTTTTATTAAAAAATATTAAGTCTTCAAAAAAGTTTAAAAAAAAAACATAAAAAAATCTGAAGTAAACATTGTTTGATCATTAAAAACAAAAAGAAAATTCATAATCATTCAGATCATGAATTCAACCTATTAAAGTTATGCCAAATGTCGATTGATTAACATAGTCATATAATTTTAATTGATCTTCTTCAGCTGCTGTACATGTTGAATTTTCAGTATTAACCGACTCGTGTTTAGGAGGATGCTCTGTCTCTAGCGATAACATTGCTAGTAAATCCTCGTATGTTTCTGAACAAGCCGGTACAACCTAAAACAAGAAGATTGAACCAATCATGCGAATAAGTCAACTCTTTCCTCATTGATCATTTTTTATCAAGAGATTTAAATGAATCTTGATTAATATTGCTCCAAGCGATTTTTCATCTGAGAAAGATGATCACATATAGGTCTATATGATGATTCTAAACACTATTTTGGATCATTTTCAAGTAAATCATTAAGTAATGATCGAACTTCGGAACTTATATGAAGAATAATTAGTCTATCCATTAAGTGAATATTTTTGGCTGGTCTTAATGATGCTCACATAAGAGAGGTTTTACTTTACATATAGTGATATAAATGACATTTCGTTACTTTTAAGTTAAAATTTAGGGCAAATGACAACTTAACCGAAGTGCTGTAGATTGATACTAGACTGTCCTTGTGAATCATTACGTATGATTTCTCTCAATGTTCGTTGCCTTGTTGTTAATAAAATTCAATGATTTCATGAAGTCAATTTCAATCAATATCACCGATATGAAATCTACTCATTTTATAATTTTATTTAAATTAGTATATTTTGTTGCGAAAAAATAGGAATAGATTATAAATAAATAGCAAGTGATATCATTAAATCCTCTATGAATTTCATTGTCAACTAGAAGTTGACAAGTATTCATTTTTGTAAAACTATTTTAGATTAAACAATCATCATAATTGCTGTCTGTACAGCATCAAAAGTGTAATTATTTCAGATAGAGTTTCACGAAAAGAGTTACACAAATATCAAGCATTTGAACATCCAATAGTATCTCCATCATGCTTAAACAGTCTGAAACAAAAGTAACGGCGATCAATATAAATTATGATAATTGATCACACGAGATAAACAAGATGATTATACAAAAGAAGAAAAAAATGTTTTTTTTTAAGATGATGGATTCTGTTGTCGTCGTAATCGAGCTCGTTCTGCTGGATTATAAATTTGAATAGATGGACGATTCTTTGTTGGAGCATTTGAATTCTATAGAAAAAGAAATACAAACATGCAATATAAAATATTTTTATTAAATTGAGCAAATACTTTTTGAGAAGATGCCGATGATGCTTTGTTTGATGAACTAGGTCGTTCATCATTTTGAGATTGTTGAGAATTTTCATTAAAATTATTTGATGTATCTGTTGATGGTGTATCGCGTTTTGTTTGACTCTCAACTTGTGATGATGATGATGATAATGCTTCTTCATTTTTCGACTTAGTATTTGTAACAGTTTTAGACTCTTTTGAACTTTGTTGCTGTTGCTTTTGCTTGGAATTTTGATGTTCACGATTTTTTGATGATTTATTACCACCATAATCATTTGCATTTGATCGTTTCTTTTAAATAACAAAAAAATATTGAAAAATATATAGGCAAAATCATTCATTTGACAAATATAAAACCCATGTATTTCAAAGATGAGGAACTTTCCTGCAGCTAACTTTTTATGCCAAATTACTATGGATACTCAAAAAGAATCAGTGCTAAAGACTTTTCTTCACAAAAAATTATTAGTAAAAGACCTAGCATTAGCAACGTCACAATTGTATGAATACAAGCTCTTACAACTGAATGAGAAGTTCAAAATCGAATCAAAATGTTATAAATCGTTCTTCAGAATCTCTATATGATAGTAAGACAAAGACTTTTGCTTCACGACTTGGCCGAATTTCTAGAAAATTAACCTTTAAGCGGAAGTTTTATGGTCTCCGATCTTGCTGAGAATTTCATCCTAGATGCAGTTCGTGCCGTAAGATCTATTCTGAAATTTTCAAAATTTTTCTTATAAGCTTAGAGAAATATTCGCTAATTACTTATTAATTAATTAATCAACTAAAAGAACTTATTCAGAAAAATAATTTCGTGTAAATTAGAATATAGATTATTCGCATCGCAGCATCATTATTGTTTCATCATAAAGGAAGTTATGATACATGGTACCTATTTTTGTTGTTAGCTGACTTCTCAATATGTAATACTATGTTTCAACTATCTAAATCACTAATTTCATCGAAATTCATTAATCCTTTGAAAGACTATGTTCCTTTTACTGGGATCATTTTTATGAAGAGAACTCGTCTACTGCTATTTGGAAGTTAATAACTCAGTGATAGTTCAAGGAAACGAGTTTGAAACTTTTGAAAAGTTATCTCTACAGTTAGACATTATTAACTAAGAGTATTAGAAGCGAATCTTATATGAAAGAGAAATAGAACATAGAATCCAGAAACTTTAGTATTCGAGCAAATGAACTCATCTTTTAGATGAAGAAAGACCATCGACAGGACATTAGCTGCAAGTAAACATATAAAAAATTAGTCATATTTTTAGTAAGAAAGAGCACTAAAAATAGATGTCGTCCATCATAATTCTCTTTATAATTAATCAATACCGGTACAGCAGTGTCAATGACTTACATACTTAGTGAAGTATGTATACACAAATTTTCAGACATCCAACACATACAGTGGCCGAGATCGGCTGGGAGAAAAATTTTTGTCTGCTACTGTATCTATTATTTCATTACCTGTTCATGATTTCCTGTTCGATAGTCAGATTTATCATAACCACGTTGTTGACGACTAGAAAAGACAATTTTTTTCGTTAATTCGAATAAGCTTTAAACGAAAAATCTTACTTTGATCTATCTCCACCTCCATAGCGTGATGAAGCATTATAATCATCATCATTCATATTCTAAATCAAATAAAAATATTAATTATAAAAAAAAAAGTAAACCAATTGTTCATACTCGTCCACTTGATGGTCTTGAATCGTCATGCACATTTGATGCATTATTTCTCGATGGTTGTTTATTATTACGACGTTGTGGTTGTTGAATACGCATCAATTTTTCCTATATTAAATGAAACTCATATAGTAAATAGCAAAAACGAAAAACAAATATTCTTTCAAACCTGTTTTCGTTCTTCCCGTTTTCGTTTTATATATTCAAGTAAAGGTGTTGTAGCATTACCGGATTTATTCTTGCTATCTATTATTATAAAGATGAATAATAATAATTATTGTTTGACATATACTTTTTACCTTGAATATCACGTTGTTTCTTTTCAATTTCTTCAAGCATTGTTTCAGCATTAGGTAATGCTTCTGTAGCACTTGGTGGTGCATTCATATTAGTTACAAATGTTTGATATTCAGGATCTAAATTAAGAGAAAAATTTATCTTTTAAATTTATATATAAAAAACATAGGATTTCAAATTGTACAAAACTCTCGACTTTGTTTTTCCAATAAAGTTAATCTTGTTAACGTCAAATTTAAAATATTCATGTCTACTCAGTTATTCAATTGCGATTTCTTATGCTTTGTGGATTCTTATTGATTTTTGTAATGCCTTAACTCATAAAAAAAACCAATGTCAAAAGTAAATTACTTAATGTCAATAGAGAGAGAACTTTATGCTCTATGCCTTGATGACTTTTTCAAGAACCTTGGAACTAATGTTTACGAGAAAAAGACTTAGAATTGATAATTGTCAGTAATTTTGAGTACACATTTGGAAATCATGTTTTTAAAAGCCAGGCTTACGCTATGAAAAAGTTAGAATTATGCTTTCGGATATTGAATTTAATTCTGAATAAAACGATGCATATATTGATTAGAAATAGAAAAATATTTACTTTACACAGTTGACATGACTTGTTTTCTGTCAAATACAGATTTTTTTCATAGAAATATTAGCCTCTTATACTCGAAAGTAAGATTGATGAAAAAAATCATATACGATAGAAAATCTCTGAGAATGGTACATCACTCGATGCAGGTTTCCAGACCGATTATGAATATGTCTTTATTTTTCTCTCGCAATCTTTCTGTGACAAAAAAAAACCTTCAAGAACCAAGATTTTTAGAAAACATGTTTCTTAGTCCAGGCACATTTGTGCTAACGGAATGCATGTTTTTAGATATAGAGGTACATTTTCTTATAGTTTCGTTGATACCAGATTAGTGGAAAAAAGTAGTGATCAACTTTACTGAACACGTCTTTTCGAACAATGTTTAGCGCAAAACGAATAATTATTGTTTCAGAACTAAAACTTGTTATAAATGGATGGAACACAAGTCCTAGTTTCAGGCTATGTATGATTTATATGCAATTCTTTTTATTTTTTTACAAAAGAATTTTGTCAAAACAATGATCGTTAATTAAAGTGTATAAGTTACTATTCGAATATCGAGCAATCTTATTTTCATTTTTCTATCTGTTGTTCACGTTGTTGCCCAGTGTGAATTGTTTCGAATCAGAAAACAACCATGGAATAGATCTACCAGAAAAAGGACTATTTTCTGGTGCTTTCAAATATTTCTTCTAAAATTCTGAAACAATTCACTAAAAGATGCAGAATTTTGTACGATAGTTGAACTTTTAGCAAGACCTTCGTTAAAAAAATTATCATCAGTTTTTCCAATACGAGCTCAATCAACGGATGTCAGTTATTTCGTATGTGTTCTTCTTCTTCTTCTTCATTTTTCACCAACAAGACAAAGTTACATGAAAAATAAAATCGACAACTGCGTAGAGCTTGAAATTCTCTATCTTTAGGCATTAAGAGAGAATTTTCTTTCAAGACAAAGAAAAACAAATGAAAAGTGCACTAACCATTAGTGTGATTTTTCCTCAAACATCCGTTATTTACCTTGTTCAATTGAATTAACCTTAGGATCTTTACGTAATTGTTGTTCTAATTTAGGTCGACTTTGATTAGGTGCAAATTCAACGGAACAAATATATTCATTTCCTATATTAAATAAAAATCAATAATGAAAATGATTGAATGAAAATAAAATTACCACTTTTATCAAGAAAAACATAACCTTGAAATTTTTCTGTAAATACAATTAAATCTTGTCGATTAGGAATATCAAGATAAGCACGAGAAAAAGCATATTGTTGACCCAAACTAGAAGAAATAGATTCGAAATGAAGATATTAATTAAAATACAATACCTTATATCAGCTTTACAAAAACGATAATAATCATGATCAGGAAGAGGAGAAACTATTTCAAGAAATTGTTCACTTGTATATGTAGGAGGTAACCGACGAAGAACAATCTTTATAAAATAGTAAAAAAACAATTTTATTAAAAAAAATAAAAAATATGAATTTGAGCTTACCTTAGTTTGATTTTGGTCATTAAATGATTTGTTATTGACAGATGACTGTTGTTTTGTCCCAGTACTAGCCCCATCAACCATGATGCACTTTTAATATTAAATGAAAGAACAATAAACTTCTGAAAAGACAAAATATTTAAGTAAAAAGCTTAATAATTTTCATCATCTGTATAACAATTTAAAGACTATGTATTCGATTTAAGTTTCGCGTTATGTTTTTTCTTTAGATGTCACCTTCAACTTCAGGCCATGCTACTTTTATATGAATCACACAAATAATCGGAGTGACTATGTTTAAAGTGAAAAAAAATTACCAAACTTCGTTTTATTTGAATTAACTAATAGATCATAGCGTTCGTTACTACATGTTAGATAGAAGGATAGCACAGTAATGGTGTAATAAAATGCACTAATCGTAGGTAACAATTGTAGAGGGCGCAGTTTTGTTTTTCGTCTCAATAATGAGAAAGAAATGGAATGTTCTTTTTGAAAATTAAGGTTTAATTGTATTAATAGCCAAAAAACTGGCAGGCAAATGATGAACAACATCGCATTATAATGACTGGATATTGGGTTCTTCTTCCGATCGATCAGAAACCATGTCAGGATCTTGAGATTGTGGACAGAGTATATTAGTAGATGTCTTAAAGAAGCAGTAAAAAAAATTTGGTAGTTTTATTGAATAAGAATGAATAACTTTTACTTATTAAGAGGGTATACATACATTCCCTTGCTTTTGCGACCTATCAACTCGATGGGGAGAACGAAAAATAGTCGAGAAATTCATATTAAACGAGTAAACGTTTCAACTCAGACGAATAAGATAAACCAAGACAAAAAGAAGACGAAAGACTTGAAGTTATATCAAAATTATTTTTGATAGAAAAATGAAACTAAGAAAAAAGCATTTTGAAATTGTGGTCGTGACTTTGTGGAGAGTTCAAGAAAGCCTTTATGAACATCTACCCAATAATTTTATTTATCCTACTACTTAAAAGTAAATGTCCTGAGAAATAGTCGGCATCCATTTGACTTGTACATGGTACTATCACTAAAATTAGATGGACTATAGATGATTTATGTGAACTGATATTCTTTTATTTTTCATACAGCTGAAATCTTTTGTTTTTTCTATTGCATTTGAAGAAATGTTCTTCAGCAATTGACAGACTTCACAGCTAAAATACGGAGGCACTTCATCTTTGTGAAATAATATGAAGTTCATCTAGCATAAACTTCTTACTTTGGGGGTAACAAAAAGCTTAAAGCATAGTAAAGTATGTTGCTTTCATTGATAATTTTACTGCAAAAAAAAATATTGCCGGAATACTCGATTTTCTAACATTACATAAGAAACTTTGCCTTTTCAAAATTCTGTAATAATTTTAACAGTTCCACGTGTCTAGGGCGCTTGTTGATGATCTTGTTAAGCTGATAATGATGATGTACAAGAAGATCAAAATGATTTCAAACTAAATTTTATATTAAGCTTTCACAGAAAACGATAGTTTTGTGTATTGTATTAATAAGTGATTATTTTGTACACCAATTAGAGACGAATTTATGTGAAATAAAACTTCATAGAATATGAAATGAAACAATAAAAGTTTCACATAAATTGCTTGAATGATTAAAGAGATATTCATGTTTCTTTTTCGTCTAGGCTTTCGGAACACCTTGTAGGTGTAAGATCTCATGTTTGATTGTTGTTCATAATATTTCTTTTTATAACGTCTATCATTTGAAGTAGAATCTATCACTTTTTTTTTGTCGGATTTCTTCTGTATTTTCTTTCTTAGTGCATTGTATATGATTGAATCAAGGATTTGCTTTCAACTCATGAATTGAGTTATTTTCTCGTCAATAAAAAGAAGAAGAGGTTGTGTCATCACTTGACGATATTACATTCTTATCAAAAGTGAAATATATGGACATGTAAAAAACATTCATTTTTACAAGTCTTCTATCATATACAAAAATATACTCAACTGGTACGAATGATTCTCATCTATATTAGTAAGTTTCTAAAAGAAATATAACATATGCATAACTTTTTTGAATAATACATTGTTTTTATTCAAGTTTTTGGTTTATATTATTCTTCTCTATCAATTGAAGCAATTCATCTAAGTCCTTGTGCAAAATGGAATACAACAGGGATTACAGTGATTGGTACCAATTTACCTGGCAATGCGTCCAATGAACTTAATCTACCACAAGGAATGTTTCTTCATAGAGAAAACAACACATTATTTGTAGCTGATACTAATAACAGACGCATTCAAATGTTTTCACTTAATCCAATATCAAGCATGGGTGTTACTGTAGCATCGAACATAGATTCTATGTCTGCTATTTATGTTGATGATGATGGATCAACAATGTATGTAGCACTTCGATATGAAAATCGTGTTGAAAAATGGATAAAAAATGCCTTAAATGGTGAACACATAGGTGATCAATGTAAACAATGTACAGGCGTATGGATTGACAAAGAGAAAAATGTTTACATGACAGAATCAGGAACACATTCAATACTGAAATGGTCACCAACAACAAATATTAAAATATCTGTTGCTGGTCAAACAGATGAATTGGGACAAACTACTGATAAACTTTATTTTCCCCGAAGTATTTATTTTAATCGTTTAAATGATGCATTGTATATAGCTGATATGATGAGTAGTCGTATACAAAAATGGAACAAAAATTCACAAGAAGGTATCACAGTTGCAGGTTCAAAAGATGGTATTTCGGGTCATGATGATTCGAAATTGGCAAGTCCATTTTATGTGTGGGTTGATGAAGAATCCGAAACAGTCTATATTGCTGATAATGAAAACAATCGTATTCAACGCTGGTTACCAAACGAACTGATTGGTACTACGATTGCTGGTGGAACAGGTAACTTCATTTTTAGAGGAATACTGTGATTTTATTTTTTCTGAAATTTATTTATAACGTGGAAAATATTATGATGCTACTAGCAGAAACCCATTATCTCAACGAGTTAGTTTTCACTATCAGTTGATTTTCTATCATAAGTCTTGTTTCCTTCAGTTAATCCCTTCTTCACTGTCCAATTTCTTTTATTTAATAGTAAAATGAATAGTAGGATTAATAGAATATTATCGAAAAAAAAAAAAAGAAATAATTTTTTTTTTTCGTCATATTATAAACAGATAATCTTTTAGTCTTGGAACGAAGATATTTTTATTACAGGCCGCGGCAATGCAAATAATCAATTATCATTACCAAATTCTTTAACATTCGATAATCTTGGAAATCTTTATGTTTGTGATGGGAACAATCATCGAATTCAAATGTTTTTATTAATTGACAATCAAGCATGTCCAACAAGTCGTTCTCATTCACTATTTATAAAGTAAAAAAACAACAATTTTCTTCTTATTCGTACTATTAACTTAACATTCTAGAATAACAACAATTACCATCAATACTATTATGTTTTTATCATCAATCACTCTAACTAATTCAAGATTGAGCTACTGATTAATAAAAAACGTCGAATCAATCATTGATATTTCATAAACCTATAATCATTTTTATTCAACTACATAATCGCTTAGTTTCTTTTTCTTTTTTTTAATAACTTAATAAGTGCAAGTGTATTTTCTTTTTTTTAATATAACAGATAATAATAAAAAAGACAAGAAGAACAAACACACACAAAGACAAAGATTCACCTTTATTTTTTATGTTTTTTTTATTTTTTTTTTTTGAGAAAATGGTAACAAGATAAAGTAAAACAACACTACACAAATAATGTAAGAGAAAAGATATCGAACAATAGAAGAATGATTGATTCAAAATCATCAAAGTGCTAAACAAGAATTTTATATTGTCTTTTTTCTACGTCACTTTCTTTTTTTTTAAATTTAATCGACACAAACAATAATCTTTGTAGAATTATTTTTGAAAAAAAATGTTCTAACTAAGAACAAAGAAAATGTTTATATAATGAAGATTGCATGAACTTAAATCTTTCATTTCACTTCCAGTAACGACATACAAAACTCATCATCAGCTCGAATGAACAAATGAAATAAGAATTATTTGAATAGTTCAAAGAAAAAAACAAACAAGAAGCAAATAGATAAATAATCAGAAAAAAAGCCATAATTTGAATGATAGATATTACTTGCTTAGAAAAGTCAATATATATTTGCAGATTTAATGTTTTTTTTTGACTGAAATATCATTGTAGATTTCGTCTATTCCTCAAAAAATCAATTGCAAAAAAATTTACAAATCATTTTTGTTTTTATTTTTCTCCATTAATTATACATCATCAGAATTTTGTTTTTCATTTAATTTTTTAATAGGTATAATTCGTTTTATTTGAACAATATATTGTTCATCTTGTTCATGTTCAGGCCATTCACCAATATCATCAATAGAAAATGTTTGTTGTTTATTTAATGCTTGTTTCCACCAGTTATCGTTAGATGTATAAAGATTTTCCGTTGTTGGTAATAATTGACAAATTTCAATTGGTTCGGAATTTTCAATTGATGATATTGAATTATCTATTAATGGTGGTGTTGTTTCAACATTTAACTCATTGTTATTTATTGATGATGATATATTGCTATTCGATATTGTTGGCATTGATCGTTGTTCTGATACGACATTATGATTTGATAATGGTTGATTATTAGTATTGGAGGGTTCAGTTTTGCCTTTATTTCGATTACGATGATTAACCTGATATAACAAAAAAACAACAAAAATTTGTAAGGATCTAATAAGATTATAAAAATATAAAGATGATGAATTCTTCTTATTGATGACGTGATAGAGTTCACGCTCTTCACTAATAAAACATTTGACTACTCGAATTTTTCATTTAATAATTTTAATATCTTGTGTTTCTATCATTTCTTAATTGTTAAAATTTCTTAGTATTATTTTATCAAAATTTTTTGAGGCATTAATAAAGATTTACTCAACGACGTTATAAGAATATAATATAGATGTAAATGTTTGACTCCTAATTCGATTTAATTTTTATAAACAAACCTGTTTACTGCTTTGTGTAAGCCATTGTCCTTCATCTTCTTGATCACTACCAGCTTCACCATCGACAGTCAAATTACGTTTAGACTCTGCATTAACAGTTACGGTTTCATTTTTCTTTGAATTTGTAGCCTTAACCTTGGTAGTGCCGTCACCTATGAATACAAAACTGTTAGTGCAATTCCTCCTGGATTAAAATGTAACACACGATGTAATTGCTCTTGCTAATTACAGGGAAATCGCTTTTCTCTAAAAACAGATTTCGTTACCATCTTTTTACTTAATCCTTCAGAAATACAGTCAAGTAGTTCATATATTAAAACGAGATATTATTGATATAGGATCATTGATCATGTATCAACAACGTCTATGAAGTAGAGAGGGAATATTGCTAATGGGGGAACCTCTTCAGTTCCCTCGGCATCTGGTTTCAATGATTTGTTTTGCCTATAGATACTACATAGTGTGCTAATAAAAATCCACAAAGGATTGAGGTTTCTATTGAGACTTGACTAGGTTATCACATTTTGATTTGAAACTCTGCGCACAAAGAGAACTCAACTAGATTAGCGTCTATAAGAAAAAACTCGCGAGTTCTGAATAATGTCTCATATCTCAAAATGACTTTGTTCAAAATATGTGAAGTTTTTTATGAAAGCTACTCTTGCTTTAGAAAATTTTGACTAGTGTGAGACACATGCTTTATTATATGAGATAATACTTACGTTCTAATAGAGGTCAAACACAGAATTCAAGAGACAAAAAAAGAAACAATTGTCATAAAATTGTTCACCAAGATTGCTCATTTGACGCTGAGTTGCAATGAAATAGCTGGTAATTATGGGTCATCTAAATCTAGTGAATATGGAACAACTGCAACCATGACAATAGAATTTTAGTTGTATAATAGTTCTTTGTCGGACTCTTTTTAGTTAATCTGTATCAGGTGTTACTCATCATCATTATTACTGATTACAAATTCCGACTAATAAAGTTATGAGAAAAATAACAATGAACTATAGATACTTAGAGACACCATTTACTGGAGATATCACTATTTGCGATATTTTTTCAACAGATCTCGACAAGGGCTTCTAGGAAATAGACATATTAAATACCTTAATCAAATTTTGATAGGACTCTAAATCCTTTTAGGATCTTTATTAGAATACTGTAGTATCTATAGGTAAGAAAAACTCATTGAAATTGTAAGGAGAAGTTGAAGAGATTCCCTCATAAGTCGCCTGTGATGGTCTCTGCCTAGCGTCTGTCACGGTGCGTGGGTTCAAATTTTTACCGCTTTATTTCAACACTCTTTTTACATCGTGTATCACAAAAGTAAGTTTTTATATATTTTTTTTAGCTTATTAATTCATAACATACGTTTTCCTGATGGTTTTTGTTTGTTAGATGCAACGGTAGTATTAGCTGATGTAGGTGTTGCATTAGTTTTCACTTGTTTGTTTTTATTATCTTCACTTTGTCCTCCAGTTGATTCTTTAACATTTTCAGTGCGTATCGATGGTTGTTGTTGTTTAGTTGATGATGTTTTAATTACATTTGTTGAAGTATTACTCTTATTATTTTCATCGATAACAGCTACTTTTTTACTTGCTGATGTTTTGATAGGTGATGTTGACTAAATAAATCATATCAAACATTTTTGAAAATTCAAATTTTTTAAATCCTAAAAATACTTTTTTTGAGGATTCAACTAATGTTGTTTTTTCATTTTCACTTTCTTCAGATTGTGTATTTGGTAATGATGTTGATGAAACCGGAAGTACATTTTTTTTTATTTTATTAGTTTTTTTCTTATTATTAGATGCTATATCACCTTGTTGTTTTTTAATTGTATTAGATTCCTTTGATTTTTTATCTTTATTTGAATGTTGTTTTGAAGTTGATGTTTTTGATTTTGATGTGGAGAAGAAAATTCGACAAGCAACAGTATATATTAATAATAAAACTAAAATAGCTACAGAAACAATAGCCAGCATAGAGAGTGATACACTGCTGGTTAATTGTTCAAATAATGATGCTGATGCCATCTAAAAAATTAAAGATATACTCAAGATTCATTAATTTTTATTTTATTTGGTGGAACATAACAAAGAGAAAAGAATAAAATGGTTTTAAGAATATATTCAAATTCAACAATGATTGGATAATCAATGGATTAACATGGTTGTCGTCATCATCATTTTTCATTGAAATTTCAAACAAAATTGTTTGAATTCTTCATTAAAAACATATAAGAAAATTAAATTTAATCGATTGACAATTAATGAGATACCTTTATATAGATGGCGTTGTATATTATAGATATAATAGATTTAAGATTAGAAGATTTTTGTTTTGAATTTTAATTTTAATTAACAAAATAAATTTTATATGAAATAAAAAGGCTTATAATTGGAAAACATTTATTAGCCAGAGTTTCATTGGATATTTAAAAGTTTGAAGTCATTTAGACTAGGTTAGGAATTCTCAAAAGTGTGATTGATTAGAAATTATTTTATAAATGCGAGCTTTATATCGTATACCGCTATTAGCTGTTTCAACATTAGTACTACGTAAGAATATGAAATCGATTTTCTTTATTAATATTAGTTTTTCTTTTTTAGTTAAATGTTTAAAAAAGTTAGAAGAACTAAACGATTATGTTCGATCACCACCACCTTTACAAATAACTGAACAACCTGCTTCACGACCTCCTTCTTTTGTTAAAAGTGCGATAAATAAACACGATAATCGATAGTGATATACATATATATTGTACTAGTCAAATTACGTGTTTTTTTTTGTTATTAAGACATAATAAGAGATCATGAATGATATTTGATTATGTCAAAAGAAAAAAAATTATCGTTGAAAATCTCTAGAAGTATTTTATTCTTGTAGATATTGAAAAAAAAAATGATGTCTGAATGAATGCCTTGGTCGATTATTATTTTGTTTTTCTTGGCTATTTTATGGCCTTTTACATTAGGTAAATATGGAATGTAAAATGTTTCTTTTGATTTTATTGAATTAATAATTTTAGTCAATGCTAATTATCTTTCATCATTTGGTATTAAATCATATAAAATTATTCGTGCAATACATGATGAAACAAATACTCATCGACAAAAACGATCTATTATTGAAAATAATTCACATCGTATTCTTACTCTTGAACTTGATCATAAGTATGTATATTAAAAATTAATTTAGATTTATTTATTCTTTTCTTTAATTTTTCTTAATAGAAATATTACATTGATTTTGAAAAATACAAATGATTTTTTTTCCACAAATGCAGATATTCATCTTGGTTCATCAACTTTTCTTCCAATTAATTCTTCTATCCTTTATGAAGGTTATGTCTTAGGTAAAGAATTATTTACTAATATTTATAAGTTCTAAGAATATTAATAATATATTGTTTAACAGTCAACGTAGAGATATAAGTGATAAAATTCATTTTTCTGGAATAAAATCTACTTTAGACTCATTAGAAGTGTATTACATACTATCCAAAGAGAAGTCTGAAAGTGTATTTATATCGAAAAACGTTTTCCGTTAGCTTTGTATAAAATTATCCATTATTGAGTTTATTGTAGAGCTATAAATTCATTTCCGACAATAACAAGAGAAATTTCCTAACTGATTAATCGCTTTTAAGTTGAGCCTATGTGTATCATGTAGACCTTAATGAATTATAAATATCCCGAAAAGAGTTCGGGGTCCATAATTTATTACTTAAGATATGTTGCATTTTTACAACAGTTTTCAATATCATGCTGTGCTTCCCTCTCAGAAACACTAGGCAAACTTATTTTAGAATTTCAACTTAAAAATTTCCATAGAAACAAATCTTGATGAGTCTTAAGAGATTACTATGGTAAAAGTTTGTTTCTTACATTGCTCATATACATCCGTATATTCGATATTCTTATTTCAAAACAGGAAACAGATCAAATGCACTAATAATTTCACGTTTAACTAGTCTTGTTCAGATTTGTTTGAAAGATTGAAGTTAAAATTCGAAAATAAATTTGCTTGGTGTTTCTGGGGGGGGGGGGGGGGGGGGGGGGGGCGAGTACGATCGAAAGAAAAGGAAAGAAGAGCAAGGGGTGCGAGCGACGCGGAGAGTGGGGTGTC